TAATGACATGACGTACAATAATAATTATATTATTTGTCCAAACCGTATTATGCGCTATAACTTATAATATCAAGTAGGTACATCGCTGTATTGCATTGCATACATACGCTTACAGTATAAATATACCAAACTATACTCGGGTTACGGTTGGTTGTTAAAATGTTAATAAATTTCAAAGAAAAGTCCGGACCCCGGAGTCGATATTGACTGCGTTAGTTGACTCTGCGAAATTAAAATTGGATTTTATCGGAAATATAAACCAAGCTTAATTGTACAAGTGGACAGTAGTTACTAGATTAGGTAGTTCCAAATACCTATTGTCTATTCTACATGATTATCTATTGTCTATTATCTACATATTATTTAGTTAATGGGTGTACTCGCATTGTTATTTGTATCGAAACTCGAGTATATAGTAATAATAATAATATTATGAAGTAGGTGCATTAACTTAATGGAGTGATGAGAATTTAGTAAGTAGCAATACGTTCAAACAGTCACGTATTGCGTACGTATAACACCAGAACTTTGAAATATAGATATAATCTATTTTCTATAATGCTGTAAGTATAGTAACTAGCTATACTCACTATAGTAATACAATATTATAAGATTAATAAACTGTGGTAGCACTCCAACACGTATTCGTCTTATAAAATTCGCAATCAAATTATTGCATATTGTACAACATAATAGGTAATCATACAATAAATGAGATATTATTTTATTTTATTTTTAATACTAAGTCCTTTATACTTACCTTTATACCTACATACTTCATTACTTCAAACAAATAGTATTGTAATTATAATATTAAGTATATCAAACCCAGTGGGGTAGTTTCCAGGGAGGGAGCAGGGTCTGGAGTCGCACCATTTTTTTTGTAAACTGTCTTTTAGTCTGCCAAAAATAAAACGAAAACGCCGGTATATTTTAACACTGATATTGTGCATAAAAAAAAAAATATTTGTTGTGGTAGTAGTATTTATTATAAAAGTAGACAACAGTTCAAGATCAATGGCTGCATTGGTTTCAATAATATTTGAAAACATAACATTTTTGGAAAAACGAGTTATCAAAATGTCAGTTCTTCGGGTACCTATATAACTCTATATTTATTGATGTGTGGAATTTAAATATTATTAATTATTAGTAGTAATAAATATTAATACATTAGTACCTTACATAGTAAGTACTCGTGTAGTCGTGTTTGAATAGGTACTTAAAATAAGATTAGTGCAATAGTGCTGCAGAGTTGGTAGTTGGTACGTTTATGCTTGTATGCCATATATAATATATATATATAGAATTACAATTTACAATAAATTTACTCTATTATACTATTATACATATTTCATCTATTAGAAACGACAGAAACATAAAAGTTAATCGGTAATAAGTCGGTAAAGCTTAAATTATTGGTGTGTGGTTGTATATGAACCTCACAGACACGTTTGATTAACCTGCAGGTATGCATAAATAATCAATTTTCTATTCGTACAATGTACATCTATATTCTATATAAATGCATATATAAATATTAAAATATAAATAACATAAGTAGTAATTAAGTACATAACACGTTCGTATAATAATTTTACTCTGTTTAAAAATTAAATTATGGGTATACCGTTTACTGTCGACACGAAATGACAATACATGGTTATTATTATTTTAACAGTGTAATTATAATCATCGCATTGATTACAGTTTGACCGATATTATTCGGAACTAATATTAAATATATTGGGACTTTGGCTAGTGGTTCTATAGAGAATTTAATGAAGAAATTGTACCTATTTAATTGTATAATAATAATATACATACACACACGCTGCAATTATACCTACTTTATAATTTTATACTTTACCCCGTTAGGTATATTATACAGGTTTAATAATATACTATACATATTTATGACTTATGCGCATAAAATATCTACTACCTATTATAAATATTTTGGGTATACATCGATACGATATTATAATATTATTATGTATGGGTATGTTAAACTGTAACACATAATATATAGCGCATATCGTAAACATTCGTATAACATTAAGGTTATTGAAATTCTATATCATTTTCCAGTGCTTAATAATTAAACATAAATAATAATAATATACATATATATACTAATAAAGTGTGTGTGTGTGTAAGGTATTGGTGTATGAAATATGTTAACGACCTCCGTTATAATAGTGTATTTTATTAATAAAGACGTTCATATAATTTTCAAACAACCATCTTCTAATTGGATTGCGGCGGTATAAGGGTTTATAATATTAATTATTATATAATACTTCATAGTTGGGCAGACAGGCAGATACCCGTGTATTGTATAATATTATATGCTTATACACAACCTATACAACCCATTCGCGAGAACAAGCCGTAAACGAATGCAAAAGTATAATAATTATACAGTGTACAGCCATTAGGTACATGGTACATATTAAATACCTCATACATAATATTATATGCACTCATATCCACGGGGCTTTTCTAGTATATACGTCGTATATTTATTATTTAAAAAGGTATCTACCTACTATGTAGGTAAGTGACATCGAATCTACTATGTATAATAGTATTATAGTTACCATTTAATACAAAATACTGCTCTAAAATACATATTTATGTATTATATTCGAGTGCGTATAATCACATAAACTAATGCAACATATAAGCCTTTTTCTTTTGCTTTAAAATGTACAAAAAGGTATACACTATGTGATTATATATATCATATATGTATAAATAATAATAGTATTATACACAGATTGGAAATTATTATTCAACTTTTATTTAACATTAAATAATTATTTATAATAATAATACGCATATATATATATATACTATTTAATATGCATGTAATAATGACAGTAAATAATATATTTAATTACACATACCATAATCATAGTACTATGTTTAATCAATGATAATGTATAGTAAAAATGCTGTACGCATATACAATACCTGACAGGATACAAATGGTGGTCTACAAAAATGTTCGATGAAAAAATGTCCACGGTAAAAATTTCCGAAACCAAGTACCTATGTTTGCGGTGAAATTGTTCAATGTTAAAAATGAGAATATCAAAATGGAATAAAAGAGGAATATAAATTAGATTATTTATTTTTTTTAGTTAGTCGAATTAGAACAAAGAGATATTGAATAACAAAAAAAAAATGTATGTTGATTTGCAACAAAAATTAAATATAATATTATGTTTAGACTTTAGAGCATAAAAATAATGAAAGAAGTATGAACAATTTTATAAAGTGTTTTTTGAGAAATTTTCCCCTATAAATTCGATACAAATATACAACTAGACTAGGTACATAGACTAACCATCTATTTCAAATGATTTGCAGTCCCGTATTCAAAAGTTGCTGACTCCAAACGTTTGGTACAGTCTGTATAGCTGCAGCATCACTATAACAGCAGACCATAAACAAATTGTGTTCTTTCATAACATACTTACACCAGGCACGGAGCCCGAAAAAAAAATCGGAGGATCAGAAATTCATATCAATATAAATTACAACATTTGAAGTCTTAATATAAGTAAAAGAGACCGAACAACTCAGACTGTATCGCCGATCGACCTTTAACCAAAACGATATCATTGTCTTTATTTAGGTCTTAGAGGTTGCCAGGTTGGTATGGATGTTGATCCATCAATAATTTTATTGTAACTTAATTAACGTTCTCATAGGTGCAAGTAAAAGATTTGCAAATGTGTAATGATATATTATAATGTTCTAAATATGTACGCAAAATAAAATCGATCCGACAAAATCATTAGGCTTAGATTTAAAGTTAAGAAAGTGAATTTGGTTGGTACTTTGTGAGAGTCAAAAGTGAAAAATTAAAGTAATTTTTGAAGGTCTGAAAAAGAAAAAATTAAGGAAAAACAGAGATTTTCGCAAAACTAGTTTTCTAAAAAATCAATTTTGTTTTATATTTGTTGTAAATAAAAAAAAATTACTCCACTGTGAATGACATAGGTAACCGAATGCTTATACTAACATTTTCTATACACAATAACACTTTCAAAATATTTTGTCTGTTTTTTAAGTTATTTATAAACATAATAAAATTTAATTTTTTTTATTAGATTTTTTAAAAATTATTGTTTAAAAAAAAAAAGTTTTTGCTCCGTCAAAAAAACTTGAAAAATTCAAAGTTAATTCAAAGTTTCTCGCGCGTTGTTATAATAGCAGTCTAAAAATCATGAAAAATACATAGTCACGATTTTTTTAGTTCAAATGTTGACAACATTTATCAAATTGACAATTTTACAAATTATTTAACACATCCGTTACAGCGTCTTTTCTAGACACCTACTGTACATTTTATATAAAATATTAGTGCGGGGGGCACTGCCCTGCGACATATCTTGTAAATAATGAATATATATCCACCCCCCCCCCCCCCCCAATTAAAATTCCTATCTATTATTCATAATATACAATATTATACTATATAAAACAATTTTGTGTCCAATTACATAGATATTGTGATTAGAAAAAAATACCAAGTTGGTATACGTTATAACTTATAAGTGAATAAGTTACATATTCGATATGTATATATAATATATTATATTATTACACATTGATATTATGTAGGTATATTTCAATTACAGTTATACCTGCCTATACGGATACACTCACGTCGCTATAAGACCGTTGAAAATTATTGTTTCGGGGGATGATGATTTCGGATTCGGGTTACAAGTCGCGCGAGTGCGGATAGGTGCAGGCGTTGTTCTGCCGGGGGAGGGGGTCGTTGGGGGAGGGAATAAAAAACTCGAAACGAATCCAGCAAATGGAATCGTATATAACGAATAACACGATATATAATGACCGCGCGCGCGTCGTTTAAAGATAGGAGATCTATCTATTATACGATCCCATATTATTATTATTATTATTATTATTATTATCATCATCGTTACCTATACACGCGCAAATAGGATGACCATATGCCGTCTGCCGGCACGCGCTTCCGCGTCAATGAGTGTTCGGGGCTCGTGCCGTCAACTGCCGTGCCGTCTGCTTAAGTGCCCAATAATAATAGTAATAACGATACACACAGTGCCGTCGGTGTCCGTCTGCGATCGCATTGCGCCAGCGCATTTTTTCCGCGCTTTTATTAAACAATTTACCTGGTGTTTGTACGCAACTGTTCGCCTGCGGATTTATCGTACACGCATAGGATCTATGTTCTACGGCCGTGATTGCACGCTCACGTGAATAATAAATATATTATACCGCTGGCTTACATTCTGCAGTAACACACATAGGTACGAGTAAAACGCCACCCGCCACCTTGTCAACAGGTAAATATAGTGATATATTTTTGTTACCTAAGGTCCCTTTGCCCACACTTAATACACCACAATATTCCGACGTGTTTCGCTTAACTTTATCGACAGTTGAATTATTAAATAAATACACTAATTTTTTTCATTTTTACGATCGATTGTAATGAGTAACGACTGTACAATCTGAAATGTAAATCTGCGTTACGCCGACTTTTTCTACAACCGTCAACTTTGAATTTAAATCGATTCGTTATTGATTAGAAATTAAGTACAAAATATGTAAAATTATCTTACATAATATATTATTTATATCCATTATATAATGTACCTATATGTGTTGATTTATAATTTATATGACGTTATTTTTGGTGAAGGTTGATGTGTGAAATGCAGAAATATAAAATTACATGTTCCTAACTTCAAAATATTTATAGACTATGTATATATATAAGGTGCAATAAAAATCGACTTATTTACATCGATTATTTAATAGGTATCTTAGATTACTTAGGCATACCAATTTGTGTGTATTATGTTTTTTTACAGAATGATTCACCAAGCATTTAATGATTTTTGATTTTTGAAATTTGTAAATATACTTATAAATATCATATTTTCAAATTCTTGAAACATTTTGTATTACATCAGCGACCCAAACTTTTATTTTTCAAATGAGAACCCTACTTTTTACTATAATTTTTTTAGTGAATAATTGATTTATATTTATCTAGATCTATATGTAGACAGAATTGGAATTATTTAGAATCCAAAATATAGGTATATAAGATACTATAAGCCAGTGATGTCCAACCTTTTTTCTTCGGCTCGCCATATTAGTAAAATATTGCTTTCGTGAGGACCACCAATAATATAAATTTAATATTTCATTAGTAGGTACATGATCCTTACTAAATTTATCAGGTACCCAAATGATGTAAAAAAATTGTTTGATAAAAAAACAGGCAGCGAGCCACTTAGGTATATGGCTTTGGGGAGGCCAGCGGTTGGCATAGCTGCTATAAGCTTTAATAGACATTAATAGATATTTAACGAAAACATGCAGCTTACAAAATATCTAATTATTATTAAATGTCTAAGAAATTATTCTATATACTATATTATAATGGTATATCATATTATGTACTATGTATACTAAATTAGATACCTATTTAAATAAAAACGCGTGAAATCTTACAAATATATTTAAATGTACCAATATAAAAACAGGACATACCTATAGGTCCGATATAGAATACAACACGTCAACACGCAAACAAATTACATAATGTTAACAGCCAAACGATAGGAACCTATATTATTAATACTGTGATAAACTGATAATTGATATAAAATATCATAAGTACCTATTGTATATTCGTAAGTATTTATTGATTTTGTTAATAAGCCTGTAAGCTGTAAGAAGTGTGGTTATTAAATTGGCCAACGATATTCTTAAATATATGACTATAGGTAGGTACTATTAATTATTATGTTATAATATAAGGATAAAAGTATTATAGGTACCTATCTATATTAACTGTTAAGAGGACGTTAAATCAATAATTTTCACCGTTAACCATAATATGTCCACGCAATACAAACGGAACGGCATTAAAGTATTTACTATAGGTACTACGATAGTAATGAGGACAAAATATTATAGTTATGTATATGTAGGTGCACTACACGTATTTGCAGTTGTCTGATAGTTTGAAAATGTATGCTTAGCAAATAGCAATCAGCATATAATCGAACATTTTGTTTTAAATTGGAATTTTCAAGATGAAAACATTATCTGTGTGACTTTGTTGTTTCGATGATACTCCTAAATACATTTTTTCACAATATAGATATGCATATGCAAACAATTTCAAACAATTTTAATTTAACTAAAACTTAAATAGACCATTAATTTTATATCTACATAGTAGATAGTATAAACTTTTTAAAAAACATTTCTAATAAACATAGGCGCAATAATGAGGTTTGGGGGCTTAGTCTTCCAGTTTTTGAATCATATTTAGTTTAAAATATTAATTATCAGGGTTTGTAATGCTAATACAATTCTAGACCCCCAAAATAATGTTCTTAATTGCATCTATATATTAATAAAATATTCGTACCTACAAGGCTTTATGGCCATATACTAAAATGTACAAATAGATCGTTGGAAGGAAACAAAATAAAACTAATATTTTGATTTAAAAATTTGAAAATTCAAATTTAAAACAACAAAATTAAATATTAATGTAGATAGGACAAGGTAGGTCCTAACAACTTTAGGTAAAAATATGCCGAACATATTATATTTTCTAAGGTGAAGACAACTGCAAGTACGTATATCACAATATTTTGTAAACGTCTGGACGTAATGTTCTTATCTGTTAACTGTTTGATAAATAATAAGCTATATTAAATCGATTAGGTACCTATTTATTTAAGTTACAGGTTATAACCCGTGTAATACAAATTTGCATATTTATATATATGATTTAGGTGGGCCTACGCCATAATGGCCTCGTTGGCTTTTGTCGACCAAATAACATTTAAATCAGCCACTGTCTAGAAGAAGTGTCATACGCTTATACGAACTTACAAACAAGCATTGCAAATCAATGTAAATCACGTTCTAGATATTGACAAAAAAATTTTCAAAAACATTATTTTTATCTATCGAGAGAATCGGTGAGACCTGTTGCTGACTTTTTTGATGTGTAGTTTACTCGTTTTTTGATTTTTACTGTAGATTAAGTGTAGAGCGAATTTCAATACTAGACTAGAAAGTTAGGGGAGCGAGCTCTTTTTGTACAGAAATTAAACATTGTAAAAGCGACTATACAAATCAATTTCTAATCTTCTAAAACTGTAACTTTTATTATTATCGACGTTAAAAAAAAAAATTCAAAAGTGGAATTTCGCAATAAAAAGTGGTCTAAATCGGTCAAATTATATCTTCTGCAGAATGTGTCAGGAGAGTTTCATGTATAATTATTGTATTACAAGTTTGGAGTATATTGCTTCTACGAAATGCTTCGTATGGAGTTCAGCTGCTCCCGGTCTCCTTGACCATCATATGTTTACAGTATACCTATATTTCTTCATAACCTTAATCAAATTACATCCTACAACACCATCATGATTCGCGGTCCGTATACATTAAATCATAAACCTTATTATAATTTATAGGAACAGCATAGTAACGGATGGTGGTCATAGAATAATCCGCTTGACGATGGATATGGTTCAGTATCGTCATCATCATCATCACCATCATCACCAGCATCTGCAGCAACAGCAGCAGCACCACCACCACCACCAGTCATTCGACGGACATCAGATGACGCATCTCGCTGCAGCGGGGGCGGCCGACTACGGTTTCGGCGATCTGGGAAATTCCAATGGAAAGCGCGAATCGCCGTCGCAGCACGGCGCGTACTGGCAGTGGCAACACTCGTCGGACGGTTCGTCGTCCGAGGGGTTCAATCACGGACAGCGAGCATTCCTCGACGACTCCGCGGACCGCGGCTGCTGGGACGCGACTGCGAGTTGCGGTAGTCCGCCACCTCCGTCGACCCGAGTGCCGCCGCTGGACGACCAATGCTCGTTCACAGGTCATCTGCAGCTGCTGCAGCCACTGACGTCTCGGCACAGCGACCGATGGAATCGTTCCTATTTCAGGTAAACCCAATACTCCTCACATATAACATGACATCAGTTGAGCCTGACATAATATTGACTGCACCTCTATTTGATTTGTACAACATTGTATTATTACCCTCGTGAAGTTAGCAGCCAGGCTTTTAAACGGACGAGATACATGATACATACTCAACATTTGACGGCAACTTGTTGTAGGTACCTGCCTATATTGTTGTATAGGTACCCATCATCATTATTCATTATCTTATAAAGTTATACATCATTACCGACGTTATAGGTAACACGGTTAACGGTGTGAAATATGAATAGGTTATAGGTATTTACGTTCATTGTAGGTACATAAACAGCTTAAGAGGACGTGATACCTGCATGTGTTGTCTCTGTCTTACAAGTGCGTAACTTTGCAAATTTTACGCTCAGCAGAACACGTGTAGCTCCGTTAGTTTAAAAATTAGTGCGAATTGACCTCTTATAAAATCTAAAGATAAGATTATTATCTAGGCAACCTCATAGGTTTTTTATTATATTTTAATTTTAACGCGAGTTATGAGTATTTTAAAATTGTAAATTTTTTATACATCTTAAAATACTTATAACTCGCGTCAAAATAAAAATATAATAAAAATCCTATGAGGTTGCCTAGATAATAATCTTACCTTTAGATTTTATAAGAGGTCAATTCACTTTAATTTTTAAATTATCGGAACAACACGTGTTCTGCTGAATGAACGATTTGCTTTGTTACGCATTTGTAAGATGGAGACAACATGCGGGTATCACGTCCTCTTAAAACAGTGGTGTATATCATAATATCTAACCTAAGCTAGGCATTTTTTCTATCGATATTTATTGAAAACAATTTTCAAAAAATTGAAAAATTTTGAATGCCTAAAAATAGCTTAAAATGTTGAAAATTCAATTGCAACCTGACCAATATTCATTTAAGTAATAGTGTAAGTTTCTATGATTAATATTTTTGGATTACCAACAAAGTAACAAGAACGAAATCTATGTTTTCGTGAGAAACTAGTGTACCTATATATTTTAAATATTTTGTTTTCCTAATTATTTCAAAAAAGTATGTAGGTACTTAGGCAGGTTAGGTATGGTATTTTTTATTTTACTTGTTCACTTAAGTAAAAAGTTAGATCCAATTGATTTACCATGCTTTAAGTTGATAGTTGAATCATTGTTATTCTTCCAAAAAATAAAATGTATTTACAATTAATTACAGTTAATTACAAAATATTTCAGAAATTAGAATAGTAGGTATGCTAAGTCTTCGCGATTATGCTTCTATTGCTAACCATTTGCTGCTCAGAATTATGCATCCTACATAATGATACCTTAACAGCCTTAACCTCTTACTACAGGGTCAAAAATGTCAAACAATGCCAATTACAATTTACAATAGGCTCATTGCGATCGAAACAGGATATTATTGTTATTAGTGAATTATTTACAATAGGTACTTATAATCAGATAACCCATGGAAAAATGTTGAACATTTAAAATTTTAAAAAACCCATCAACACTACTGTTTCTTTTTTTATGTTTTAATTATAATTTTTTTTAGATTTGATGTGGTTTATGTAACTTACAACCATTTTCTATTGACTATTCCTACATAGCTCATAGGTACTACATAACTAACCAACGTAAATTATATTTTTGTCTACACATATTCATTGCACCTTTTTTTTTATAATAGACAATCATCAAATGATTACATATCAACAAAGTCTAATAGCAAAGAGTCCATATCTCCCACAGTGGCAAGAAAGAGACGTTTAGCAGCTAATGCAAGGGAACGTCGACGCATGAATGGTTTGAATGAAGCATTTGATAGACTCCGTGAAGCTATACCAACATCCATAGAAGATGAACACAAATTATCAAAATATGAAACGCTACAAATGGCTCAAAGTTATATATCAGCATTATGCAACTTACTGGATCAAGCTCATAAATAAAATATAATTTATTTCTCAATTGTCAATTTTTTTTACACATAAAATGTTTTCTAGTCACAAAAAATATTTTTTTATTTTGTCTATTTAATAAAAATAATAACGAAAAAGCAATTAAATACAATTAACTTTTATTTTTTTCATTACTGTACACCTAAATAAAAAATAATATGTGGTACAAGACAAAAAAAAAGTGTTACTTCAGTAAAATTATCAACATAAAAACTGAAATTTATTTATACAAAATTATTTGATTGGAAGTTTAGCCATGTGACATTAAATTGTATACCTTATTGGTAGAGAGAACAGTAAAAAAAAAGAATGAATTTAAAAATTAAAATATATATTTTTTTAATATATATATTATCAACATTAATCAATATATTGTGCCAGCCATCTGAACCCTTCTCCATAACCATGACGTTTCAATACAGAACACATGAATACTTCTAAAGGACGACCTGGAAGATCTGATCTGGGTACTCTAGCCTAAAATTAAATAATCAATATTAGATAATATGGAAAGAAACAATTTTGATACTAAATAGTAATCACAACAGATTATAATAAATTATGTTACTGAGTAAAACAACCTACTGTTAATGTGCATCATTTTTGTATACAGTACTGAATTAATTATTTATTTATTAAACCATCAAAAATCAATTTAGATTTAGATTTAGATGTTGAGTGAAACCTGGCATAACTTTTAAATCATTTAGTATTTTATATGTTATCTAAATTGTATGTTTTCATGTCATTGGGTATTTAGAAGTACAACAGCATTATTTGATGAAAAAATCATAACTTTTTGGTAGTTAATAATTATAAATGTAAAATTAAGGTGATGTAATTTATAGTAAACATCTATCAGTTGAATTCTCATTAATCTCATTATTATTACAAGGATAGCAGCACACTCTTGGTTTTCTCTCTATCCTACAACATAGCAGATTTACATAAGCAAAAATAATATCTGTGTTCTTAGGTGTTTTGAACAATCTATTATCCAACTTAAAGTTAAGTACATTATCTGTTTTTATTCTTTGGCTTTTAACAATATTCCAATTTTTAAATTTAAATTATTTAAAAATGCTCATATACCACAGAAAAATTATAATATGGAAAAATAGCCAACATATAAATACAAATAATGTTCTTAACTTTAAATTCTATAAAAGATAAATTTACTCCAATATTAAAGCTATCAACACAATATTAGTTCTGCTGAATGCACATTTGCTATATTGCGTGTGGGTCAAAGAGAGAAAACCAACAATGAGTTGATATATTCTCAATTTTTAGTGATATGTCAATATCTACAGTGTTTTAAAATTTACAGGGAGTCAATGGTGAAAAAAATGATATACCAAAATTATGATTTTAAGAAGTAAATAAATAAACAAAATAATTCAGCTGATAAATTATTCACACATTAAACATATTCTTATAAACTAATAAGATAATTTATAGTTATATTTTTGAAAACAATTCTAATGTATCAATACAATAATAACAGGTTACAAAAATATTAACACGTTCACATGTTTACAGCCACGTTAGTAAATGTGACAACGGTGAGTCTTTGCTTAGAACGTTGTCACAAAATAAACACAAGACATGGTCAATATGTATTTGATATGGGATTTATAGACTGGTTTAATTTAAGAAATTTCTGCGGTATAGATTTTAATAACTGGTTTAAATTTTTGCCATCAAATAAAGTTAGAATTGATACTTATTATTATAACATTTTCATCCTGAAAGCCACTATAATTTACTGTTGTGAACGTGTTAATAGGTTTATTGTACATATAAAATATCATAAAATAACATACTTTTCCAGTTGTTTGGTTCAATGCAAAATAAGTTCTTAATTCTGTTTCATTCAATGCACCTTGTCTATCAATTTTGTTACCAAGAACGAGTACGGGGCAGTTAGATAAGGATTCATCAAGCAATAATGAATCTAATTCATTTTTACTTTCCATAATTCTAGATTTGTCACAAGCGTCTACCAAAAATACAATTGCATCTACAGCAGGGAAATAATCTTTCCATACTTTTCTTGCTTGAGAATGGCCACCCAAATCAAATGTTGTGAATTTGATGTTTCCAACAGATAATTCTTCAGATGCTTTAAAATAAATAGTTAAATATTAAATTACCAAAGTACAAAAATATAAAATATACATATTTGTATAACAGTTTCATACTTGGATGCAATGTTGGAGTGTGTTGTGCCAAACGATCATCTTTCAACATATGTAATAGAGTAGTTTTTCCAGCATTATCTAAACCAAGGAAAAGTAATTTTCCTGATTTTTTCCACAACCCTATAAACCATAACATTTAAATTAATTAAAGTTGATGTAAAAAATAATATGGAAACACATGATTTAACTGATTTATTTTGTAATCATATTATTCAGTGATAATAGAAAAATTACAGAATTTGATTTAATATCAATATGTTAATGAACTATTGAAATCTTATACATTTTCATAATCTTATCAAAAATCACATAACTAACTGAATAGTAGGTAAAGAAATATTACTCACCTAAGTATCCAAGGACGCCGGTAACCCAATCCCAAAGAAACATTTTTTGATGAAATTATCTGTAACATAAAATAGGTAATCATATTATGTAAATAATACTAAATATTTAGTACACGTTTTATTAATAATACATTTTATACCACAAGGCAGTTTTAAAATGTACCTATGCTAAGATCCTAATCAAATATTATCAGTGACTTTATAGATAAATACATAAAAATATATAATGTATAAACCATAAAATCAGATATATGTAACTACCTAAACAGGGTATGGTAAAATAATCAATCATAAATTTAATCGCAAACATTTAATATTGTAAGAACACAAGAAAATGTTGTAAAAATATGTAGTGTGTCTTAAACTTATTTTCAATCAACAATTACAAAAGTTTATACATGTTTGATATTTTATTTTGATTATCAATTGCATATTTAATATAATAATGAATGATGTATAAATTGATTATAATAAAATGAAAATAAAAGTACTTATTTAAATGCAAAATGTATGAATTAGGTTTTCAATATATAATTTTCAAAAATAAATAGGGGGGTAATGGTATATCAATAAAAACTAACTAGCTTAAAATGTTATCTAATTTTATAAAACCTTCATGACCAGTTTTGATGGTTGTAGAACTTACTAACCTGTTAAAGAGTCAATAAAATGAAAAAATTATTCATGTTTATATCATACACAATATAATGTGTTCATACCATCAAGGACAAGTACATTATTATAGTCATTAGTTAGGTTAGCGTAGAAACTAGTAATATCCCACTATGTCAGAGGTAGGTGATTTATTGTAAAATATAAATGAGAAATTTTAATATCTACCTCATTAGATGCTTCAAATAAAATAAAATGTACCTTTAATTCATAATTATTTGTATTTATAACATTGAAATTCCACCCAAAATACAATTAAAAGATAGTAAGATAGCAAACATTTTTTTTAATTAGATTTCAGCTAGCTAAATTCTATTATTAGAGCATGGAAATAAAGAAAAACGGGACTAAATTCAATGGTAATGTCTAAAAATAACTATAACAAAAGATTAAGTTAATCCATATTTAAAGCAGTTAAAGGTACCTCCAACCGCAGAATTGATTAAATAAATCTATTCTATGTTACAACTAATAATTATTATTTATTAAACATAAGATATGCAAATACAATTTTAACTATCAGTGATGACAACAAAGTACTTTTAATTGATAAATGGTTCATAAAAGTCGGTGTTCTATATTTACTGTACTTTGCAATAATTGATTATTGTATCACCTACTTAATTAAGACAATACCTACTTATACATTCAAATTACATTTTACACAAAGGTAACTGTTATATTTTGATAATTTCAGAATATAAAAACCTATTAATACTAGTAGGTACCCAAATTCTGATAAACATTTTTAAAACCTAAATTAAATTCTGAATAAAATGACTAGATATTGGCTATACAATATTTTTTTTAATTTCTTTTTCTCTGAGTAGGACGGATTCAAATGATTTATATAGAGAATAGATAATAGACACATTAAATAATTGATATATTTGGTTTTCTTAATTGTATTGTGTTGTATTATTTGAATTGTCTGAAGTTATAAATTGGTCATTTTTCTAATTATTCTCAAGACATAGGTAATATACTTTAAAATATTATTTTTAATATTTTAAGACTATAATATACAAAAAATTGAATACTTAAGTTTAAAATTAATAATAGATCATAATAAATAACTATGCTATTCTGTATTGATTTTTTAATTGTACATACAATTGCAACCTACAATATTCTTATAAGAAACATTTAAAATTAAAATGATTTACTAATAAATTCATTGACTCCACAAGCTAGGTATTAATATATTTATTCATTATTCCATAATAGGTTTATCTTGTAATTAATAAAACATGTACCTACTTAATAATATTAATATATTAAACTTCAAAAATTAAAATTTTAATTTAAAAAAAATCCTAATCTTATCAATAATGTAGGTACTAAGGTATTTTACTATTTTCTTATGTTCAAATTTCAATTATTATCAAAACTATAGATTCGATCAATTATATTTTAGATTTCATTCTGCAAGATTAAAATTTATGACAGATACCTAATATGATCAATATATAATTTTATAATTTATTTGAATGCTTGAAATGTGTAGTATTGAGTACCTATTAAGATTTGATGTTTGAACATAAGGTGAATATGATATGAGTATAATATCATATTATTTACAAGGTAATTATTTTTTAAATTTATTCAATTAATTTTGAAAACCTTAAAGGTACTTATTTTAAAAGCATTTAAAATTTTTAAAAAATTGGGTTGTCAGTATAGGTACCCAATACATTTTTGATATTAAAAATCATGATTTTGATACTGCCTTTGTTTAAAATTTGATACCAATAATCCAATAACAATAGAATACTCCAGAGTCCAGAGTGCACGAGCAAAGAACGTAGTTCTATAAATATATATATGATTAATAATTATACATTAATCTATTGTTATATTATACTTCCTGTGAGATATCTATAATGTCTTTTAAATTAATTTCTCTTGATGTATCTACTCTTAATTACTTACAATTGTTTTTAGAAATATTAGGCACCTACCTTATAAAAATTATTTGAGGAAGAACTATAAAATTCAAGTACATATGTAATGACGTCATTAAGAAATGTTGTTGACTTTTAAGCAATCACTCATAACAAAGACACTAATTTGATTTTGTGAAACGTAAATTAATCTTACATAAAAATGTATGAATTTCAATTTGTCCAATTTAATATAGATGCCAGACCCTAAACAATACTTTTAGATAAATCCAAACTAAAACTACTCGTAAAATAACCAATCAAATAATGAAAAACATTGTTTGTCATTAAATATAATAAATAGATTTTACATACCTTTAACGATAGTTTAATGTACAGTAAATCAGTGTCACAACTTTGTGTCGTTCATTGGTAAATTGTATTTGATGTCGTAACAATTCGGCCGCAATTCGATTATCACTAAGCGTCTGTGTTGACGAAAAGTGAAGACGGCGACGTTACTACTTACTAACCAAGTTATTTAAGAGTCGTAGTAGAAAAACAGATATTTTATATTATGTACACAATATACCGTCTAAACTAAATTAATGATAAATAAAATCTATGGTCTATGAGCAAAATAAAAATATAAACGATGACTTGACGTGCAAAATAAAGTGATTAAAACATTGATAGGGCGTGGAAGTAGGAGAAGGGGTTCCAATGTGTCACAGAGCCATCGGTGGCTGGCAACGATTATCGAAATAACGAACCTCTTTGGACTAGCCGTTTAAACTGCCGCGTATTACAACTACCGCTTCGCTTAACAACCACTATTACTGCTCCACGGGTATTATACCAACATGGCAGGACGTCTGTTTTGAGTATTTTTTTATCTTTTATGCAATTATTTATTGTTATGCACATTGCACATATTATAGCTTGCCACTAACTGATTCGGTTATTAGTCACAACACTCATGACCACCGGGTTTACAACCCTATAGATCTCAAAAACTATCAACATTTTCCGTGCCTACGTGTTATACGTGGCGTGACCGGACGTCCCACGTTGTTAAGCGGATTGTCCTGAGTCTTAAATCTGCTTTTGTCCCACTTTCACGAAAATATTTTATGTATTATTTAACTTTCTATATTTATATTTTTTTGAACAAAATAATTTTACCTACTCTGGGTTTTTGGGTATTCGTCGATGATTAAAAATGTTCATTATTTTTATAGGAATACTTGATACTTGTTCAAGTTAAAATGTGGTTATGTTAAAATTCTATTTTATTCTTATTAAAATATTATTTTAAATATTGTTTTTCTAATATAATATGTTAATGGGTAATAAAATTGTTTTTAATTATTTTTTATTTTTTTGTTTATCAATCGGTAACTGCATGGTAAGTGTATGGAGGTACTTATAGTGTCCCACTTTTAGATTAAAAAAATTATGGTCATCTGCTATAAATACTACCTATCTCTAGTAATTAACGAAATTCAACAATACGTGCAATCGATCGGTGGTGAAACTAGGAATTTTTTCTGGAGAAGGGGATAGATATTTTTTACCATGCGCATACCTATTTATAGATTTCTTTAGATTCATATGGTATTAAGTAATTCTATCTTAACATATTTTGTCGAGATGTCAGCACTTAACCCCCAAAGTTCCAAATTAATAACTTAATATATATCATAACGGCCCCAGTAGGGAGGGGGGGTGACGTAATTACCTACGCCAATGCTATAATCGGTCACCGACACCTATAATAGCATTTTAATAAATATGCATCATAGTAGGCAGTAGCATGCACAACGAACGTCGAATAAAATGATAAGTCTTTTTTCATCTCAAACCCACCTCTCTTTGTAAAACCAAAATCGTATTTTTAATAATTTTAAACTGCTATTGTAACAAAGTATGAAGGACCTTGTGTTAAATTATTCAAGTATTTTGGCTAGACGATAAAAATTGTATTGACATTTATAGAAAAAAACCTATACAACAAATCGAAAACTGAGAATGTAAAATTTACAAGCCAAAAAAAAAGTTAATTTTTTTATATATTGTCATGTATGGAAAATTATAAAATAAACATTTGGTGAAAATTGTCTACGGGGTTGTTTTTAAATTACAACAAAATAAGAAAATCATTCTATGAAAAATCGAGTGAATATATATCAAATGTCGAAAAACATTCAATTTCAGACTTTCCATATAAAAATTTTAATTTGACTTTCCAGAAGACATTTTTTTTTTTGATAAAGGTAGTCAAACTTACATTTACAAATCTTGGATTTAAATAGAAATATTTTTATGAATTTCTAACTCAACTTAATTTTTACATTTTTCTTGATTTTGACAAATTTAGGCAATATTTTAACTTAAGACGCTCATAATTCAATACTGTGGATTTACACCATTTTTATTATACATTTTCTCTAGAAACAACAAATAAGAAGCATTATATTACATTTTTAATTTATGACCAAAAAACAGTGAGCCCAATTTCTCGGGACGCAAGCATTTGGGTGCTTAAGCCCTCCTAATATTATTTTTGGGTGATTTACGCCTATGCAGATTGGTACTAGCAAATATAGGCAAGTACTCAATGTCGCTTCAACGTTAATGAAACCAAATTCATGAACGAAAAATTTTCACATTCACTAAAGTTAATGGTTTTTCCAATGACTATTGTGATAAAAAACCGTGAATACTCGGTTGCATTTCAGTATATTCCAGGCGTCCCACATTTAAATGGCTGACTAATCACAAGCAGAGCCCTACTTGGGTCTTTTAGTGCCTCCGGTTCATTTTTTGATGTGGGTCCCTAGATTTAAATTACAAATTCAATTTTTTGACTTAATCGTTTTTATATTCGATTTATTGTTCAAGATCATAAATAAATGATACCATAAATCCTTTAGTTATCATTTAATGTTGATAGGTGTAAATAAAACGTATATTACTGTATTACAGTAATATCCCTAATTATGCCAGTGCCCGAGGCTGCAACCCCGTGTTACTATGTTAGTGAACATTATATTTTGTAACAGAAGGTTGATAGTAAAGATTAACGGTAAATGGCGTGCCACATATATCGTCATAATTGATTAAACCAATCAAACCATAAATCAAACAATGATTAAATTATTATTTAGTCATGAATGAAAAAATATTTTTATTTGAGTTTATGTGATATCAAGTTTCAATTAGCTATAGCCTATAACTTTAAATTTAAAACTAAGATCGACCGTCAAATTCTGACTTCACAGTTCATCATCGTCCATCAGTATGCTTATTTGCTTAACTACATACGTTAAATCAAAAATATAGATTAGTTTAGTAGACCCATCTTAGAACTTCCTGACGTTATAGCATTAATGCATGACCATGATTATAGGTCAACCAGTACTTCAAGTCAAGTATTATCCAATACCTTACTTAGCTGGTTATATAGCTAGAAACGCAAACCGATTCACTAAATGTGAAAAATGTCTTTTTAAAGAAACGATTGTTCCTCTTCATCTAGAGACAAACTTATAGACATGCAAATAACTTCAAGTGCCCGGGGGCACGGCTTAAAATTGAATGGTTGATTTCAAATTTTGCAGGTATTATTTTTTTGGGCATTAACAAAAAATGGGTTGGTGCCGTAAACTGTACAATTAAAAAAAAAAATTTGCAAGAATAAGCTAAGGGCCACCCTACGGTACCTACGTGACATGTGTAACATATTGCACGCGTGAAACACGAACTCGATTGTGGTTAGATCGTAATATAATCATCATTGGTCATAGACAGTAGGCACAATACGATGGAGGTACATAATCCCATTATTGATTATCCACGTAGTGCGCACGCGTAACGATATCATAATATTTATCATAATACTATTCGGGTATCGGTGAAAGACATAAGCGCCAAAATGTGATAAGAAAAAAAAATCGTACCTTACAAAAGCGCCAAAATGAGATGAGAAAAAAAAAATCGTATTTTACAAAAGCGCCAAAATCGTATCGTATATAAGCACCAAAATTCTAGGTACCTGTGTGCTACGCAGTGGCGGGCTCGTGCCTAGGTGTGCAAGTGTGAGCTCACCACATATATTAATTAGATATAATAGTGAAAATGTATAGTAATAAATTCATTTTAACAAATATCTGTTTAACTGTATTTATTATGTAAAAAAATTAAATTTTAAAAACAAACAAACGACAATTATTATTATCTCCTAATTAATATTTTTTAAAGTACTTAATATTATTTTCTAAAACTGTATAATCTCAAATTTAAAAATGCTAATAAATATTTTACTAATTACATTTATACTTAAAACAGACTAATTTTTTTAAAATAAACTTTTGCAATGATTGCACCCCACCTACTTTGAACACCACGAGCCGTCACTGATGCTACGGTTAATAGATATTAAATAACAGATAATATTATAATTAGAACTATATCGATCAAAAACTCCAAACGTTTAATCTTAATCGATAAATGTATTATTTTACAAAAACTCAACCAATTTATTAAATTTATATTTATTGTATGTATACATACCTATACTCATATTATATTTTAACAATTTATTATTGACAATTTTTTTAATGTAATATATTATATGAAATAAAATATTAATTTTGGCGCAAATGATAGGTCATTTTTGTAACTTTGGCGCTTATGTCATGTAGCCTCGGGTACGATCACAGAATATATATTCAGAATATTTATTCTGTGGTACGATATCGTTGTGTAGTATTATACGGCAGTATCGGTTGTGATATTTTCTGCAAGTGCATATTATATTATTATCATACTTGACGCGTGTCTGACGTACTATGAAAAATATACACTCACTATATAGGTCGTTGAAACTGCTGTGTCTGCTGTTCAAAAAGTGCAGATTGCAGAATTTTCGTAGTTACTAGTTCCAAGATAACGTCCACTATTGGGATTTGGGAGGTGTTCGTTAGGGAAGGTTTCATTGTTTATACGTTTACTCGGCTGATCGGAGAATATCGGTGACCTTATATGACGTACAAAATATGTGTTGAATATATTCCCCATTAACTAGTTACTACTTCTGTTGCCGAAAAATTTGATTTCGAAAAATAATCTCGCACAACTCGACCTCTGTGTGTCTTCGTTATTAAAATAAAATACATATTATTGGAAAATCTGAATTAATATGACTACGTAAAAACGTTTTAACTGCATTCAGTAATCACATCACAAGTTTAATATTATATAGAAAATCCTAATGTTAGGTTAGTTTTTGAACAGAATCATGGATCCTCTAAATATTCACCGAAAATGTTAAATCAAAATTTATAATACTGCTATATTAGGCACTTCCGAGTCTTCCGACGCAGAGTTGCAATTTAAAAGTACTAAACATTAAACGATCAATGATATATAGAGTTTTCCTCAACACTTTCATATTTCTATTATTATTAGTAGAACAATGAAATTAATCAAAAATAAAATTACCATGTTTTTACCTTTCGTCGCCTGGGCGGAACACAGTGCCGCAATTCATATGACGTTGTTGTATACTATTATACTAGGAATTACCTAACGTAATAACTAATAAGTATATTAGTTTTGGATTTCTAGAGTTTTCAAGTAGTAATAATGTAATATAAACAAAATATTCTAGCTTAGAATCTAAAATTATTATAATTAATTCTTAATAATATAATAAAATGCAATGTAGTTCTCTATGAATTGTTATACCTAATAAAAATTCAAAAATATTAAAGATTTTACATTACAAGGTTTTTTTTTGAAGCATACAAAACTAAAATTTTGACAAAATTCATGAAAATGTCCGCGGGTGTACGAGCCTTTGTTCGTAGAGTCGATCATCTAGACGACTGGTTTGGGCCCGACCATAACGGCCACTCAAGTGACTGGACGATTGACGGCGGGGCGGTTTTTTTTACCCATTCGAGCCGGTCAAATCCTTTGCGTCCCTCTATTGAAAACTGAAATGGTGCCACTGCATTTATTGCGTGGATATTGAACACTAATATTATTTTAGTAATTTATTCTTTAAGGTAAATTTCCGCTGAATACGATGAGGTACTTGTAATTTAAATACGATTTTTAGTTTTCTAATTATAATTTTTTAAAGGTAAGAAAGTCGAGTATGTCCCTATCTAATACGGGTTAATTGCAACATAGATGACCATCCAGTCCAGTGGCGGCGAGAACTTTTTCGACAGTGAGCCAGTGAGGCAAGAAAATGTTAGTTGCAGCACACACGACCCACCTTTTTATTTTGCACAGAGCCGTGGGGGGCTATGCGCCTATGCCCCCCACACCCCCTACTATAATCCTATATCAAATTAGCCTTTCTACAAATGAATCCAAGTTTCTGCTTGAGAGTTGAGACTGCAATAATAACGTTAATAACAGCAAAACACTGTATTACTGACAGAATGTGAAAACAAGTCATTAACACACAGTTGCGATTCATATTTATTAATACTAATCAGTTATTGGTCGTTTCTGGTTAACTGTGGAAAATACGTCTGAATGTCAGGTAAGCATTTGTTTTATTTGAAAACCATGTTTATGTCTATACTCTATATGAATATGACTATTTATATATTTATTTATTTGATACGTTGTGTCACTCAATATTTTTCAGAACTGACTATCCACTATAGGTACCTACTCGGTACCCACCCACCACCCCTTTAAGCTGTGAGACATTTGTCTCACAAAAACCCTCTCGCGCCGCCACTGTGACCATCTATGAATTGCACTCTGCGCCATGATAAATTAAATTAAATTAAACGGATTTAACCGCCATGCAGACTGGTGAAGAAATTATTGTGCGATATTTTCACTCTACGGATATTTTACGGGACGTTTTTTTCAGAAGATATCAACTTCCTTATCATTTTTCGGACAACTGCCCTCTACTCATATCACTTATCTATATCAGAGATTACAACAATATTATTTATAAGTACTCTTTGACAATGTATTATACTATTTTTCAATAATTATTTATTTCCTTGACATGTTGCTTAGATTACAAAACATTACAATATTTTTATAACATCTAAATAATGAATACTTGATTAGTGATATGATAGAGTTAAACATTAATTTAGTAAATATTGGTGTGATTAAGTTCATGGATACTTTAATAAAGATTGTTAAAAATTAAGTAGAACGTTAAAGTGTTTACAGAATTACGTTATTTTTTTCCTGCCAGCGGTTTTGAGTTTTGTTGGACGTGTGAAATCTTACAGTTTTTGGTGATCTGAATTTGTGACTTACATCCAGTTCAATTATGTCCGCTACTACTAGGAACATCCGTCACCAAACGCTGGAACAACAAGTACCTACCTGATGATTTATATCTGAAATAAATGCTCCTTTTTTCGTTTGTCTCATCATTAATTATTTGTTTTCTCAGAAACAACTGTTGGAAATGAAAATGAGGCAGGTCAGACAAACTCCGCAGATAATTAAAGCGTCAGACAATGTCATGCCAAGTGCAAGAATACGGCCAAAATCTGCTAGGCCAGTGGAGATGAATTGTAAGTATTGTTAATTGCATAGAACAATTTATTTATTTTTGTTTTTAATTTCTAATTGCAAACTATATTGTTAAAGTTAAATTCTTACAAAATAATATAAGCCCCTAAAACATTAATATAAAGTGTTTTTATCAAAACAGGTTTAATTTTTGTTAACATTATTTGATTGTACACCATTTGGTTGTAATTAGGTTTAATATACTAAACTTTAAAAGATAACAATAATTTTATGTTAAGCTTACAACTTGTGTCTATTATAATGAGTTTGTTCCAACTTCAGAAGAATTGTATTAATATGACTAACCAAAACATTATTTAAGTTTGGACATACCTTTAACATGCCCTTTTTCTAATTTTAATTTTCTTTTTGTTTATTAAAATAATATATGCTCACCGAATGTTAAGTAATAATTATTATATTGTTTTATTTACGTATTTAATTTTTGTTGCATTATTAATTATTAGGTTATGATGGTCCGTTAACATATGCAATGATGAACTGCAGTCCAGACTCCAGTGATATATTAGGTGTATCAAGACATTCTATTAACCATGATGTTATTGAAGGTTTGTAAAGTTGTACCTATTTTTGTAATTTTTTATTATGTTTGTTATTTTTAGATATGAGGAAAGAAGTAGCTGAAATGACTGTTGACGAACGTAGAGTATCTATAGACACTGAAGATGAAGAATCTTGTTCCATTTCTCCAGTTAAAAATTTAAGTTCAATACATATTAAAGAAAACAGCCCATTTATTTATCCTTCTTCAACAATTACTGATGTAAGTTACCTAAACATCTAAATATTGATATTATTTAATCGTTTTGCTTTTCAGACTAATGAATTGGAAGGAGATGTATATGGAAATTTAGAAACATTCGTCCTGGAACCGGCTGCCCAAGGTGTTCATTATAAATGCCGTATAACTAGAGATAAAAAAGGCATGGATCGGGGGTTATATCCTACCTACTATTTACATTTAGACAAAGGAAATGGATCAAAAGTAAACTAATTATAAAAAATAAAAATGTTAAACATTTAATTATAAACACTTTTTTGTTATTGTATTGTTTTGACCTAATAGATTTTTTTATTGGCTGCTCGTAAACGTAAAAAAAGTAGAACATCAAATTATCTAATATCAACAGATCCAACTGATTTGTCTAGAGGAGGTGATTCATTTGTTGGGAAACTTAGATCAAATTTAATTGGTACCCAATTCACTGTCTATGATAATGGTACTTCACCGTATAAGACATCTATAGAAGGGATCCAAGAAAGGCAAGAATTAGCTGCTGTAGTATATGTAAGTTAAAAAATAGTATTATATTGCTTTCCAAAAAACAATTGAAAAAAATTAAACTTTATATTTCATAAATACATTATTTTATAGGAAACAAATGTGCTAGGATTCAAGGGACCTCGTAAAATGACTGTAATAATACCAGGCATGAATAAAAATCACCAACGAGTTAAAGTCGCCACAACTGATAACTATAGTTCACTATTAGGTGATAATTTAACTTTGAGATATATTTAAGTCAAATAAAGTATTATATTATAATCTTATAAAAAAATATCTATAGAATGTTATCGAACAAAAAATATGGACGACCTGATAGAATTGCATAACAAAACACCACAGTGGAATGAAGAAACCCAATCGTATGTTCTTAATTTTCACGGACGAGTCACACAAGCTTCAGTTAAAAATTTTCAAATTGTTCACGATAATGATGGTGAGTTTATTACTATTAAATGATTGTAGTTCTGAGGATACTTAAAATACATATATATATAATAATAGATATATAAATAATTTAAATACAGTTCAGTCTCGTTATGTCAAAACTAGGAAACAGAAAAAATTTTATTTTATTGAGGTTTAAAATAAATAGTAATCATTATAAGGGGATTTCAATTGTTTTCCATGTTATTTTTCTTTATAAATGAAACTAGGTAAAAAGATAGTAGGTAGTTTCAGTAACAAAAATTATACATTATTGATAAACAAAGTTTATTTTTAAAAGTTTAATATGTATTACAAAGTTACTTTAATTGACACCATACTTGAAACTACAATATCTAATTTAAAACATGTGGATACATTTTTGATATTATACATTTATACTCCACCTCATACAAGAATAACCTCAGGTGTATTTCTGCTTAGAAAATGATTGTGACTAGAGCGTTCTTCGGAGCATCATCTAATTATTACAAAAATCTCATACCTTACATTTTGCTGAAATTAACATTGTAAAGAAATGTATGGCCGTGGCTAATTATTGAAACAAAAGCTGATTATGAAAACTTATTTCATCAATGAGTGTGGTTTTGACTGAACTTTACAAAACTCAGTCATAGCCTGAGGTTACTCATACTTGAATATGAGAGGCAGCATAGTTTATTAATATACGTTCTAAACCACCGCAATAGTTTTGTTAGGATTTTCATATGAGAATATTTTCATCATCCAACAAATAATAAATGTATACTATTTTTACCTGTCAGAAACTGTATTAATTTTATTGTCTGATTATTTTTTCAGTTGATTACATTGTCCTGCAATTCGGTCGTATTTCAGATGATCTCTTTACAATGGATTACAGATATCCATTGTGTGCAATGCAAGCATTTGCTATCACTCTTAGTAGTTTTGATAGCAAATTAGCTTGTGAATAGCTAAAATATATTCAATTTCAATTTTGAAGTCCTTAAAAATTAAGTTTTGATTTTAATCTCTACTTAATGATTTTAGTTAACTATATTTTTTTTATCTCCTTTCACCTATTTATTTATATTTATATTTATACTTTTGCACCAAAAATTTCAATTTATTCTAGTCTTTATTTATTACATATTACTATCTAGTATTTTTATATGTTAAAATTAAATTTAAAATGTTGAATGAATGCCATGAAGTAATTATATTATTTAAAAATTGAATCCTGTTTTTGAATTATTATTTAATGAAAAATGTTGATGTTTATTTACATTTATTTTTAGTACACTGCCATTAATAATGTTAACATTATGAGCTGAAAAGTTTCGAATAAAAGTTATTTCATTTATATTTACTACTTAAAACTATAGTATGTGTTGGATAAAGAAATCAATATGAATATTAAGATTTTATTTTGTAATAATATTATTAATTTCATCTTTTAATAATTTTAAATCTCTTATATTATAAATAATAACACCTTTTTATGTTATTGTTACAGTGAATCTGTAAATTACAGTAACTGATATTTTATTATGTTGTTAATTGATTCAAGTTAACTTATTAATTAATCATACAATTTATTTTCAAGATATTTTTGGCTGGTTACAACTTAAATATAATAAAAAATATTTTCCACTTATAAATGTGCAGGTGCACCTTTTTTTGCTGGTTTTAACACCCATGATGATTGATGTTTCTCTGTCAATTAAAAAATTAATTATAATTTGGTGTTCCTAAAAATATTTTTTTTTCATTAATTCATTTGCCTTTTCTTGTCTATGTATACTCAAACATTATATTATTTGTATATTAAATAAAATAATGACATTAACTTTAGTATCCTAACTTTTCCAAGTCAAATTTCAAATTATTATTATCCTACTTAGAATATACCTTATACAATTTCTGAATATTTGTTTTTACTTTTATAAAACTTTGTATTGTTAATATAGGTATTATACATGTAAACTGTGGCAGTTTTATTATTATATTATTTTGATTAATTAATAATTTTGTTATGTTTAAGTTTTATAATATGGTCATCATATCACTAGTATCACATATCTATTGTGCACTGATTTACCAACTATAGTTTTTATTAGACCACGGACATAAGTATAATTTATTTATGATATATTATATCTTAGTCTGTGTGTTTGACTAATTGTTTATTGTGTATACAAACAAAAGTGCCTTACACTTGTGCCTTACATTACTTAACAATTGTACTTTTTTTTTAAAAAATTATACAGCATCATGTTTATGTAATTGTTTACTTGTAAAATAAATGAAAATATTCAAGTAAAACGAATGTAATTGATTTATTATTTTCTATTATACATTCATTGATAGTGGACGTCCATTACGTACGTTATCAATCTGAAATTAAAAAAGAAATATATATTATATCTATGTATCTTTAAAAAATGATTTTGACTATCATTTTTTCTGGTATAGTGTTTTGAGATAAAAAAAAATGAAAAAACACATTATTGTAAATATTTTTGTTCATCACTGCTTTAAGAATCTGAAAATCATCTGTTATTCACTTATACTTTAAAACAGTAAGTATGTAATGTATTGTAATGCACTAATGTTCCAAAGGGAAACATTCTAATTTCTAATTGCTTTAATTATAAGAATTCTAATGTTTTTTATTTTGTCAAAATATAGACTTTAAAGAGATGATGCATTATGTAATCATATGCGTGATTGGTAAAATACAACCGAATTTGTGAACTCTGTTAACAAAAACCACAATAGTATATTGTGTTGAAAATACATTTTGTTTACTATCGCTTGTTCGAATTACAATTGTATTTACACTTCTCTTGGGCAATCTGAGCTGTCAGCTGTCAGCTGCCGGCGGGTAGGTTTATGTCAAATCGTTAACAGTACTGTTGTCAACCAAAAACGAAAACAAAAATGAGTAAATCCATACCCAGGTGGCCAGGTGTATACGTCGACCTACTTATTGAGTGTCAAATCCTTGTGAAACAAAACTAAAACGTATCTAGGATTACAACCAAAGTGCATGCTGCTAAATGCCTGAATAGTGAACAAATATATAGAAACATTCTTTACGGCATTCACTTAATTGTTAATTGTTATTGAAAAATAAGAAATTATTATGTTTCCGTATAGAGGTATTCCCAGTACAGTAACCTGTGGGGCAGGGGCGCAATTTAAATAAAAAATGTGGGGGTGCTGAAGCCCCTTTATTTTTTTTCATATTATCTTATTGCTTCCACGATCGTCTTTCCTCTAATAGCAACCCGTTAATACGAAATCTCGCAATCCTTTCTATTCCCGGAAACCCACCCAGACGTTTAAAACGAAAATGGTGTCGTGACCTACTTGTTCACACCCCTCCCATCTACTAATCCAAAATTAGAGCTTCAGTTGTTTAACTAATTTTATATAAAAAAAAAAACCAATATTGAGTGTCATTAGTGGATGACTTCTCACTTCAAGCGTATCATGTGTAAATTACTCTAACCATATAAACTTATTGTGCCCCTAAGGTATGGATTGTTTATCTCAAATAAAAAAAAAAATATATTTTTTCTTATGGTTGTGGATGCCTGCATAATTTCTATTAAAATGAAAATAAATATGAACAATATTGGGGGTGCTAAGAACCCCCAATCACCCCCCCCCCCCAAATTGCGCCTATGCTGTGGGGGGACATTGGTGGCCAGTGGCCACACAGTCTTCTAGACTACACTGTACTATATAGAAATCGATGGGTAGCAAGTGCCCTCCTCCCCTTTCCTTTATTTGTTTTAATATATAATATTTCCAATTAAAATTAAGAAGTTCTTTTTTGAAGACTTCCGAGAAGAAATGTTTGATTTATTGCTGTTGTCTTTTATGATAACTGCAGTTCAGGGTAGTTTCCAATGAGGGAAATGTACAACACACTCAGGTTTCACGGCATATTAATGCAGGTTATACAATTAATGAAAAATGTTCAAAAATGAACATTGGATACATTTTTTTCTCTTACCTGGTTTTTGAATACTATTTCAACGGTGACGATTACTTGATGGGTGTATTCTTTTACCTCTGGGGTGTCGATTGAGTATGGATCAGGCACATTTGAACGTATTGCAGCGGTGATTGCTTCAACTAAAGCGTTGAAAACGTAATTTTGAGTGTTCACTGGTTGTGGCAAGAATCCTATGTTATTATTATAATCTTGAGATCCGTAGTAATTCATGTTGGTTGCGCCACCGTAGTACGTCTGCTGTTGCTGTTGCATCGACTGTTGACCTATGAAGGAATCTTTTGTAGTTTGATTTGTGTTGAAAATACGGTTATAAGTAGATATGGATTGTTATTTTGTGGAAATACCTGTTTTATCCGGCTGAGTATAGTATGGTATATTCGTATCTTTTGCCGTCGGCTTAGTGGTAGATTGCTGGGAGTATTTGTCAATCAGAGCGCCTGGTAAATTATGCAAGACACCAGAAGGACTGAAATCTCGTTTAGATAGACGACCCTTAACAATTTGAAATATAACACCATAACACATGTAAAAGTAAAACTAAAATTTCACTCTCAAAATTGTTGAGCAACTTACGTATAAAGTGTTCCTAACCGTATCCAAAGTCTGTTGAAGACTGCGCATCGCGGATTGTACTACAGCATATGTTAAGCGAATAACATCAATCAATTGGGCACGCGGGAAATTCGCACGTGTTACGTCAAATATTGCTTTAATCCTAACAAACGGTATATGAACCGACTCTGAAATCATGGATATAAAATTGTATACAGACATATCGTTTAAAGGAAAATTTATAATTCCTTGGTTATTATTTTGGTATGACATCGATGGCGTTCCAAAGATACTTGTGCTTGTCTTACCGTCATAACTTGTATATCCGTCATTTGGGTTTGAATTCTTTGTGTAATCTTTATTTGATAATAACCACGAGTTAGAAATATTCGGAGGAGGGTTCCTTAAATCTACTTTCTTGTAAATACATCCACTATTGTCCTTAGAGCTTGGTTGGTTGTCATTTAGCGAACTACTAGGTAATTTTATCTTAGATGACATCTGATTTTGACCAACAGCAGAATAAGCGTTTGGTTGATTATAATAATTATTATTTGACGGGTACATAGGGATTTGATTATAATATAATGGATTTTGATAAACATTTAATAATGTACTAAGTAGTTGATTATAAGCATTAAAATACGGTTGTTGAACATAGTCAACTATATTTGAAAATGAGGGATTATACCATGGTATATTAGTCGGTGAAGAATTTAATAAATTATTATTATTTGGATAACTATTATCACTAGTTGATGACTGTGTAGGAGCTATTAGAAGGGTATGGACATCATTAGGATTAGCGAACACACGGTTTTTGCCATTGTTCTGTTTTATGTTTTCGAGATTTTCTGTGTCTACAATCAATGATTGATCGTACTTGCGTAGTCCATCATCTAATGGTTCGTCAAATACTAAATTTTCCAATGAAAATAATTCATTGTCTTTTTTAAATGGAACAACTGGTAACTCAGGGTTTGTTTTTTCTAATATTGGTTCTTGCTTTAACTGTGTATCTATAACATTTGCAGGCAATGGACTTTCATTCAATGCATTTTGTAACTTTTGTGCATCCTCATTTAAACTGATATCTTTTTTTGAATCATCTTGTTGTGGATTATTTATCACAACGTTTTCTACTTGCGTATTATCTGTTAGTAATTGTGGTGGTGTATCATTCAATTCTAATGGAGAATCATCTTGATTTTCCGAAACATTATTAAGTGGACTCGGGCTTTTATTATTTTCAGGTTCTAAAAATGTTTGCATATCTGTTTGTGAATTATCTATCAAAATGTTTTCATTTTGCACAACATTGCTAATAAGTGGCTCTGGTTTACTATCCGGAAATCCTGATATGGAATTCAATGACACACCGTCATTTGTATCTTGCATAGTATTTGTATTAGGGGTTGGAGGACCTTTATCCAATAATTCTGAAGATGATGGCGATGGCACTTGATTTGAGATAGGAGGAACTGAAGTAGAAGATTGTGGTAAATTTAATTGATTTTCTGTTGGTGGAAGATATACACTGTTCGGAATATCTAATTTAGAATCAATTGGCTCACTATATTCAACTTCCATAGTATTTTTACTAGGTGTTGGAAGACCTTTATCTAATAATTCCAAAGATGATTGTGATAGCAATGGTAATTGAATTTCCGCTTGTGGAAGTAAATTTGGTGGAATAATTTTACCATCCAAAAAATCTGATTGAGGATTAAGCAATACCCCATCTTTTATATCCATAGTATTTTCATTAGGCGTTGATGATACTTTATCCGGTGGATTTGAAGGAAATTGTGATGGAATTTGAGGGAGTAAAATTGTATTTGAGTTAGAAGGAATTGAAGGATTTAATTGTGGTAAATTTAATTGAGTTTGTGTCGGTGGAAGTAACGTATTGGTAGGAATGTCTGATTTAGAATTAAACGAAGTTTGTTGTGATAACTGTGGGACTATATTTGAAGGAACCTGTTCTGGCTTATTTTCTTGTTTTTTATCGTTATTCATAACTTGGCCAAAGTCTGGTGATTCGCCAAAATCTGGTAATTCCTCGGGTATTGGGTGATCTAAACTAGTAAGCGGTTGTTTCTGGTATTCGTTCGGCGGCGAAGGTTTAATTGTTCCAAAAGACTGGGATGCCCCTTGTCCACCCTGTGGGGGTAAATTATATGGTGGTGATACCAGTGACTGTTGGTTTTCATTGTTCTGATTTATTACAGGCTGTTTAAATTCAGTGTTCACATTCTGGTTAAGCGTTGGGTATTGCATATTAATTGGCTGTTGATGCCCGGATTCACTGTTGGAGTTGAATGAGCCTGGAGGTAATGACTGTGGTGCATTTGATTGAATTTGAAGCATTGGATTTGGATTTGGCTGAGGTATTTGAGGCGTTTCCGTTAAAGGCGGCTGAAATTTTTTCACCTCTTGAGTCTGATAAAAGTTTTGTTCTTGAGGTATGAACTGCTGTGGTATAGTTGATTGTTGCGGCGTATTTAAGTGGTGTTGCATATTATACGGTTGAGGCATGGGCGAGGGTTGCCCATAATTTATGGGTTGTTGATTATTATTGTTATTCAAGTAAGTACTTTGTGGTGGGTAAGGGCTTATTGAATTGTAATAATTTGTGGCCTCTGGAGTAACTGGTTGACCAATCCAAGAGTTAGGAGCTCCTGAATTTTGTCCATTAAACTGTACCGAATTTGTAGTGGTTTTACAATCCACAGCAAGAATCTGTAAACAGTTTTTTTTTCTATATTACATTTATAACACAGTTTTACCAAAATTATATTAAATTTATAAATAATAATCCACTAAAGTTTCATTTGACCAGTTAATGTTTTTTTTTTAATCTCAGGACTAAATATTTTGGTAGCCCCTATTACTAGCTGTGTGTGTGTGAGTGTGTAAAATTGTTCTTCTATACTGGATGATTCTTTTATTATTAAACACGTGAAATCACAAAATTGTAATGTAGGTATAATTTGGATTGGTAACTAAATCAGTTTATTAAACTTACTCTGAAGGTCTATTTTATTTCCTCAAATGATGAATACAAGACTCGCCCAAACGATTTGATATCCAATATCCATTTTCAAGTGAAAAAGATAAGGATTCGTTCAAAGACCAGTGCCAGGTGGCAGAATGGTTACCTACAACTCATACATTCTCGAGGACGCTACACCGCCTACACCCGTAAAATATGTTGTCTATTTCTGTTCGTCTTACGCATCATAGATGTTATACTATTAGACAAGAACTGTGTATAACAACAGTAAAACGGGCTACATATCAACACATAGATGTGATGCAGGCTGTTTTTACGAAAAAATACAATAATTTATAAACCTATATATCTTACCCCTCAACTCTGCACTACCGTGCGTACAAGTAATCAAGTAATCAAATAGCGCCCTATATGTTGCCACGCTTTCCATTCGTCCATTGCCTGCCTAGTAGAATAAGGTCTTCCAAATGTGCAACGTAGCAAAAACTGTTCAACTCCAACTGTATTTAATATTTATAGAAGAATTATCAAAATTCGCCAACGCATAGGAAAGAACATCATCTCTGTGTTTTTATTATTTGGATAACAAATAAATATAATTCAATTTTTTTGACAACACTAACCAATAACTTTTAATAATTAAATGAACAAAAAAAACCTAATGTTCTTAAGCTGATAACTGAATGTTACGACACAAATAAAGTTCTTCCTGCGTTGTAGAATTTTGGTAATTCTACTATAAATACAAAGGGAGCATTAAAATTGTCTCACTCAAAACAGTTTTTGGTATGTTGTACAATATTGTAAAACGGAGACAACACATGCGGGTGTAGCATCCTCTTATTCCTCTTAAACCGCAAGTGATAACTGCCAACTGGTATACTTACTAGAATAAGATCTCATAATTTGCCAATGACCAAAATCATGTTAAGCTGGAAAAATTACGGATCTTAAAAAATGCATTATTTTTTTTAATTATCTTACAAACGGGATTAGGCGGCTTTTGACACATAATAAAAGTATACGGGCAAATTTATGGTTGTACTCGTAATTCGTATATAATATATTGATGTACAAGACGTCAAGATTAATTTATAACTGTAATTGCAATAAGTTATAAATTTAATTATATAATATATTAGATAACAACTTTTAGTCATTACAAAAGGTATTTAATACAATATTTATGCATTTAACATTATATCACAAATAATTACCTACCTCATGTTTCGGTTACAATTTATCTTTGCCTGATAAATCAAGTATCTACAATGATTAAACATTGGACGATTATTTCAAATCATCAGTAAATACGACGAAATTATATCTCTGAAGTATTTAAGAGGAATGGCTCACAATTTTCAATTGTAACTTGTATAAAATATTTGTGTGCTTTGTAATATCGTGATTTATTATACATTATTAGGGTAAAAATTTGAAAATCACTTTTCATTATAAATATACATTATAAATTTATATGCATAATATATTTGTGCTTGTAACAATAATAACATTTAATTTAATATTAATATAAATTAAATATTAAAATATTTTCATGGGATATATGTCTAATAGGTATTTTTAACAGGATATATTTTGTCGAAGATATTTTGACCGGTCACATGAATGTACTAACTTATTAAACTAATAAAATACCATAATTTTCAGTTTTAAAGCAATGAAATAATTTTACATTATCACTTATCAGTTATCAGCAAACTGACAAATGTCCACCTTGGTGTGCAGGGGTAGTATTCTGAGGTAATTAGATACTCGAAGAATTTATGACCAAATAGGGATAACTGTAAACTTCTTTCTATCGGTTAAGACTTAGTAGGATATGAACCAGGAGAGAAAGTTCTCCCCTACACCTAATTGGTCAAGTAACATTGTATAATTGATTGAATAAAAGGCTTTTTAAATGTCAAAGATTACCTATAACATTAACTAGGCTCCAGTAGTACCTATAGCAAAGGGGTGTTGAAACATCCCCTTCCTATCAGCTGTATTTATGCAAAAAATATATGTATGATATGATTCAGATTTTTACAACATAATATAATATGTTCTCGTACGGTTCTATTTCATATTTGACATTATTAATAATATGAAGATTGATGGCTACAATGGAGTGTGTAAAGCCCTTCATGCTTTAAGTTTAAATATAAAATTAAAACAGTCTACTCCAAAAAATCCAGGCTACCTGGCCGGCCTGATTCATATAATATGTTTTAAGCTGTCTCTGATAAATGAGAAATATTCTACTGCACCATCTAAAATAGAACTAGGTATTTCAAAAAAGTAAAATGAAATTCAAATATTTAATCATAAGCTAACGAGAATTAAATTTTGAAAAACATTGATTACATTTATGAAAACAAAGTTAGTAAAAAGAGAGGGTTTTATGACTCAAACACTCAGTGCATTGTGAATAAAAACACCGATACCTACATTATGATTCAATAAATGTATTTAGTAGGTACTTATACAATGATTGATTTCAGTTAACCACATACATTTTTGTAGATGGAGCTTTGGAATAAAATACCAAATGTAAAAGCACCCATTTTATATTAATATTAAATATATTATTATAAGAGGTACCCATGTAAGATTTACGGAATGAATACCTATTTTAGTGTTATTGACCCTTGTAATTTGTGGACCAGTAGAAGAATATGAAAACTAAAATTGATAAAATATGTGCAAATTATTGCCTATACTCTATCAAATCTATGATTAAAACTAAATAAACTAGGTAGGTACTTATTTAGTTTTATTGAAAGATGAAATATCTAGAACTCGGGAGTAGTGTCGTTGTTTATCATAGTGACATCCCGGTGCGTTTTTTTCTCACAGGTTTGTACCACAGATTATTTGAAAAAAATTATGATCTCAGTTTGTACCACGGACTAAGACAGATATATTTTGTTGTCCGTAGTTTTTACCAACAAACTTCTAGGTCAGAAGTTGTCAATCTTTTCCAATATGCAAGCCACATTATTACATTAAACATTTTAAGCAGGTACCTACTTATCTGTTGATCTATCATTATTTATCACTATGAACTGTGGTAGGGATAAGGTTACTGTAGGTTGTTTTTTACGATCTTGGATCTTTACGGTTGTTACGGTAGGTAGCAAACACGTGTATGTGTGGCGAGGTTTTTAACTATTATGAACCCGGGTGGTCATCCATCCAAGAGCTGTAGCTGTGGTCGTTACTTACTCCCAAAGTCCCAATTGCATTTCGCGACTGGTAGCAGCCAACCCTCCACGCAGAGCCATTTAATATGTCTTGTATTTTAACCCACATGTAGTATAATATTCTTGTATCATTATTCTTCCATCAGGAAGTTGTAAGCTGTTCTTCGCTAATAATTTCTTTACCTCCTTTTGTATATTAAGCGTAAACCTATGTTTAGTTCTTAAAGTTGTTGATATCTAGATATTGGTATGATTAATTTTGAATAAGATCGACTGGTCGGCGACTCCTGTTCTAGCCTCTAGGTGGGTGAATTGTACCTTGTGAATTGTGACCCAGTCATGTCGTCAAACGGCCATCGTAAAACCCATATTCATAATATCGAATATGGCGATAAGGCTAGTTGTTTCAATCTACACTCTACACATTTAAATATAATTGTTGTCAACAAATTTTCCGATCAGATTTAAAACAGAAGAAAGATAATTTCATTGAGTCCCCTGATTTATAAATTAGCGTCACCCGACTCTACATCTATAATAATGGAAAAAAACAATTTTTTTTTTTTCAAAAAGATAGGTTAAACTACTTAAACTAAAGTAGAAGCGGAAATGTTAACTCAGCTTTTAAACTATTTATTAAGGTATACTAATTATGTATTAAATATTATAGTTTGTACAAGTAATAATATAATGTTGGAGGAGAAGTATTGGCACCATAGTTCCTCCTCCAGTCCTCGTACCATAATAATAAAAAAATAATAAAATAAAATATAGAAAAAAAATAAATTTTCCTTTGAGAGAAGCAAAATCCTTTTCAGCCATCTTTTTGTTATTTATCGTAGCTACTTATTTCCAAATTTGATGTTCTGTACAACATTTCAAAACAAAAACATTTGATGGACAAAAAGATAAGCTCAAACTTCCAGGTAGCTAGATGGTATTTTTTTATTTATATAAAATTATTTAATTATAAGGTAGGCAGATTTAAAGAAAAATTGTTAATGTTTGAAATATTTCTTTGGTCTGTCAGTATTTACAATACACTCTAACATACATAGGTCTCGAGTAACATATAGTTTATATAGTTTAAATACGTAAAATATTTATTATTTTAAAATAATATAATACATTACCTTCGACAGTAAAAAAAAAAAGATTCCATTTTTCACTGCTCTCATAACTCTTCTTCTTAACAAAAATCCTTAATTTTGTGTGGGGTATATACAATTTCCAACAATTGAAATATATGTTTTTATAGCGTATTGAGTACAACACACAATTTTAATGAGCGAAACCAAGTAAATATTTACCAGAACTGACAGATAAAAGTATAATCAAATAAATTAAATCACATATTTGTGTAATTTGATAACTTGACAGTTGATTTAATTGTATGGGCATGTAACAAAAATATAGCTTTTAATAACAAAAATAATTATTAACAAATTTTAACATTATAGGTAAATCAGTTATATAATATAATATTCTAAGTACCTACCTAATAAACAAAAATCACATTTTATTTAAGCCTAAGATATCTTTTAGGTTAGAATAAATGATGAACATTTTATCATAACAATGAACCAAATCAATCAACTTAGAAATAACGTATACTTAAAACATGTTACTTTCAAAACTTAATGTTTTCATAAACAAGGAAATTTCATATAACATAAGATAAGTATTTTAAAGTTGCATAAAAAAAACATTGTTCTTACTCCTATACTTTAACATAATTAATATTTTCTTCGACACACGACGCATTGAATATTATCAGTTTGATGACGAATACATACAGTATGAAAAGAGTGTCCACATCTAAACGATATGAGTCCATTATTCTTACCTCGAATTAAAGGATCAGAGTTCAATGGTAATGAACACCAAATACAATAACCATTTTTTACATCAATTTGTGTACCCCAGTGTGATTTTTTTGAATATTGATTTTTGAACTGAATAGTTCCACCCATTTCTTCTTCCAAAGTTGTTAAAGTATTTTTACAATTCTATAAAGAAACAAATCATGAAATAAAATATCATTTTAAAAGATTTTATGGTAAATGTTGACCCTTACCTCTGTGCTTATCATTGATATATTATTATGATTTTGTAGTGTATTGATCAAAGCTTTCTTTGAGTTTACATCAACCAATTGAGTCAAAATAAAACTCTGATAAAACCTTAAAATAATAAAAATCTGATTATACATCTGTTTCAATATATTATATTATCAGTGGTTGGTGCTCTAATAATTTCGTTCAATTTTTAGAAACTTAACGGGAATGTAGTTATTTTTTGTTAGACTGAACTTATTGGAATTATGTTTATTTTTTAAAGGAACATGAATGATTTTATTTGTTCCTTTTATCGTTAATAAATTTTATAAAAATAGGAAATTTAAATAATTTTTAGAGTAAAAGTTTTTGAATATTTTTTTTTTTATAAATGTAGTCAGTTAATAGAGCTAGGTATAAAATTGAACACAATAATGTACAATAACAGTGACAATGTTTACAAAATGTGAAGTCGGTCACGGCAATCTTAAGAGTTTGAACTTGTATGAAAAAAACAAATAACACATTTTAAAAACAAAACAACTACCTAATTAAACAATTCATTGCAACAAATTATATTAATACAATTTTTAAATTATCGAGGAACGAAAATTGTTCTTTATTTAGGAATGAGGAAAGGAACTTTCTTTGAGCCAAGAACAATAAACGATTTATATCCATTTTAACAAGATGAACATTGAATGTGAACTAGTTCCTTTTGAAAAGAAATTTGAATTTCCAAGCACTGTATATTAATAATAATTACCAATTATCAATATCTCCGCATGGTATATTGTGTCTATGTTTGAAGAGTAAGCTTCTAGTTTCTTCGTGACTTAAATATTGAAATGCCAAAGATGTTAAATCAGTCCATGTGATTCCTTGATTTTTTTCACCAATATTGCCACAATTCAAACAAAGGCCATTTTTAAAGTAATGATTTAATGTGAAAAGTTTGTCAAACAATAATTCAGTTTTGTTGAACAAATGAACATCTAACTGATCCACCAAACCTAAATGGATAGCAAGTATAATTTTTGTATGCTTCGAACCATTTAAATTTAAGTCTGATTTTAAAACAATAGGCCATAAATGAGGCACTTGTTTACAAAAACATTTTATTACATCTTCTAGAGAATTTGTGGTTACATCACATTTCACAAATTTATGTAAAATTAAATGTAATTGCTCCAAATTTATATCAGCGCTAGATAAATAATCAATAAGTATTTTTCCAAGCTTTTTGAATTCACCTTCAACACTATCCAATGGAAATCCACATTTACATAAATGGTTTTTCTGATTATTTAGTATCACAAAACTATAAACGGCATAATACAGAATGTTATAGTCAGTAAAAATACTTTTATCAAAGTGTGATAAATAGGACAAAAATATTGTATTGCATTTTTTGCGATTGATCAACTCTAAATGAACTGAAAACTTCATTAATAAATAAAATACAAATATTGGTTTGATGTTTCTTTTGTATCCAAGTATACGAAATGATTCAATTTGGCCCAATTTTAAAAATACATACATTGAATTTAAGTACATTAATAATGGTTCTTCAGTCTTTCCATCATTATTAGAGCTCATTTTCAAAATCTTACAAAATATTGCATAGGAACATTTCAAGTTACCATTCAGTAAAAAGTGAAAAATACTACCAGCTTCCATAACTTGACCAAATAATGTGATTAACTCACTGACTTCGGTATCTTTTTTAAAATCATTTTCATCTAAATAGTAAGTCAGAAATTCTGGGTAGTCAAATTTATTGACATTCAAAACATCATTTGTATGTATATCAGCCCACTTTCCAACTAAATTGCCAATAAAACCATCATTTACTGCTTTCTTAATAGTATGCAAATGTTTTTCTTTCAAATACTGTTGGAATGGAAACATTGGTTGTTTTACATGTAAAACATTTTCCAAATTAGATTTTACTTCACATACACCATTACATAACTGTTGTAAACAGTCTACATCTAATTTATATCCATTTTGAAGTTTTTTACATATTTTTAAAATAGGAAGTAAATTGAGTTTTTCACGATGTTCAAGGTCCAACTTATAATTGGAAACATCTACTTCGCTTTCATCAACAGGCGGCGGTTCTGGTCGATTAATAGTATTTGATATATCATAAGGCACCAAATCATTTTTACCTGTACTAGCAGTAAGATTATTTAATGTATCTTTAAGAGTTTTACTACTCTTAGCAAGTTTATTGGTAACATTTGACCCTATTTCCATTAGAGTATCGTGAAATACGTCAGAAGTAGTCAATGAAACAAATGGAATTGAGGGAATATTCAACTCCATATACATCTGATCAAAACCTTGTTTATTGTTTAACTTAGAATAATCACTACATGGATAATGTTCAGACTTTTTAACTTTTTCTAAATTTATATGTATATTAAGCATAGACTTATAGCGTAATATAGGTTTATCAGACTTAATGGAAAGTAAACTATAACTTCTTTGTAATCTATAATTTTTTTTTTCATATACATAATTCTTCAAAGAGTAAATTCCGGACGGTAACTTAAAAAATTGCTGTTTTAAATAATAAGTTTTTTTAATTTTTGAGATCAAATTGTTTGTATTAACTGGCAAGTCTATCTTTTGATCTATGTTGACAAGTGGATACAACTCATCAATAATGGATTTTGTATTTATTATTCTATCATAATAATGTTCTATCAATGAAATGCAGGAATTGTAATCTTCACACTCATAACAATTAACTAAATAATTTTGAAGGGGAGTGATTTTTTCAGCAATAAGTTCGCCATTTGAAGACCATATATATATAGTATCTTCAATATACTTGACATTTTGTATATTATTATATCCGTCACACCATAATAGAACATTAACTTTTAACATATCCAGTATAAATATGCTGTTTGATGTATATGTAAGTAAGCAATTTTCCCAAATTGTATATAGTTTTTTAAAATTCAGAGACTGTGGTGGCCAATTTTTTCCAGAAATTCTTGATAAATCAAATGGTTTTTGTGCACAAACGTTAAGTGTTGGTGGAATGGCTAAACAGTATTTCAGTTGATGTGTACTTTTTACAACTCCATTTAACTCTGCTTCCCAAATCCTTGAACCGGGTCGCGCAGAAAAGATTTTCTTCTCATTCCAAGAAACAATACAGCAACCATAATCTCCATCCCTAGGTTTTTGTCCAATTTGTTTAAATTGTTCTTTGGACATGTCACAAACATAACATCTTGTCAATGTCGAGATCACTAATATATCATCAGCACTATCTATCTGAATGACTTTTGAATCCAGTTCAATCATAGTGTATGGCGGGGTTTGGAAAATGGCCTTTCGCTGAAATATATTTTATATTATATGAGTGAAAAATAGAAAATGTATTACACTGTATTTTGAAATATATGGTTGCATTGCTTAAGGCTTAAGCAATATAAATAATTAAATACTCTATACAAATTTATTCTTACAACAAATAATGATACATATATTGAAGTGACTTTTCCATTGCAATCGCCAAAATATATTTGATTCCTTGAAGTCCATTCCATAGTAGTGATTTCATGTCCTAAATGTTCAGTAGACTTATTTATCAACTTTGCACCAACCCCGTTTTCATTTCTTTGCAATATACACACAATGCCTTTTTGTGTACCAAATGCAATGAGTTCTTCATCTTTAGATACAGCAATTTGAGTCACAGATCCTTCCTTTACATTAATTTATAAGTTTATATTAACTATTAAATAAAATTATATCATCATAAGATTATCAACAATCGAACACAAAAATTAAAGCAAATAATATATTTAATGAATTGTAATACCTATGTTGATAATTATTACTTTAGATTGTATTTTAACACAATAAATTAACATGGGCATATACCTAAATTGATAATTAGTGAATTGAGAAAACATATATTATTTATCATTGAGGGAGAATTTAAACTGATTTAATCTTTTTTTTGACTATTCCTAAATTATTTTTAATATTTAAGAAACCTGTTTAAAAAATACTAACTTCCTTTAAAATGTGTACTTTTTATAGGTAATAAAATATAAAATCTATTTTTACATTAGATTTTTATTCTTTTCATAACATAAGCACTCACTTTATTTGGAAGCAGTTGAATAAACTCACAAGGTTGTCTGCGAAATACATACAATCCACCACTGGAAGCCCCAAAAATGATAAAGTTCTGAGATACTTCAAAACAAGTATACTAAAGCAGGAAAGAAATTTAAAAAAAAGATTAATCACATAACAATTAAAATAACTATCACTGACTTTTATTCTTTGTGTGGCTTTCAGAGGTAAATTAAGTATATTTTTAATGTCAATTCTATTTAACATTAAAATATGATCCGGCATGTTTTTGTCATTTATGTTGTCTTGTAACACAACCATTCTCAAAATCGTGTAAATTGATACATAGGCGCCTTACAAAGAAAATTTAAAAAAAATCAGTTGCAATCGACTTGGCATTTCATAGAATTCAAATTTTTAAAAATTAAACGAGTGAATATTGTGAAGACGTAACGTTGAGTTAGTGACTCGAGCTGCTGATAACAGATGACTTATGACACAGAATACCTATATTGCTTATGTTTTTCACACACATAAATTCTATTATCTATAGCCGTGGTGTTTTTACTTTTTCATAGGATTTGTGATAAAAAATATGGTATTTTCGGTCATGGTTATCTATTAAGCATGGACCCGCGTCCCTCCGTACTCATATCCGTATCATATAAGTCTAATGTAATGGTCATAATATCATATTAATATTACACTTATCTTGTTATTATTTGCTTATGTCCAATGCCGAGGAGTAGCTAGTCAGTTGTAGTATACACTATACATCGCTTAGAGTCTTATATTCAGTAGTCATTACAGCCAGTCGCCAGACTTAGGTAGTTTGGTGCACGAAGTTGTTCTTTAAATTTATAATATATGTGCATCAGATAAGTGGCGCTGGTTTAACATTTTAAAATGCCGAAAGTCGTTTCTCGCAGTATAGTGTGTTCAGACACCAAAGACCAAGAAGAATACAATGAGGAGAAGCCGCTGCACTCTTATTACTGTTTGTGCGGTCAGATGACGTTAATTTTGGGTGAGTCAATGATAGTTGAAACTTAATAATTATTAATGAGGTTTGAATTTAGTCGAAATAGTTAACTGTTGTAGGTGTAACTCAATTATTATCAGTTTTTCTAGAATGTTTCAATGTGGTTAATCGCCATATATTGTATATAACAATCCTTCATCAATGCAGCACAATGATACTAAGTACTAATGTTTACTGATTTCAGATTGTGCTTTGGAGAAACTACCTCTACGCAAACGAGATGGAGCCCGAGTAGTTGATGGTTCCAAGCATGCCAATAAAATGACCTATGATCAAGACGAAACTGTGTACTTAAAACGACAAGAAGGCGTTGAAAAACAACATAGATTAAAGTGCAAAAAGTTTGTAAACCTTAATTATCATGAGTATTTATTCATCACTATTTCAATAATTACCAAATAGATGTTTTTTACAGATGCGGTTTATTTCTGTACTATAAACACCAGACAAATAATAATGTTTATTTTATTGTACGTGGTGCTTTGGTCAAATGTACTGGCGAGGGTCCTAAAATGGATATATATAATCAAGTGGCAGTTGAAAAACCAAAGAAAATTATGGTCACCAAACACACTAAGAACATGGGCAAGTTCAGTTCGGTGACAGTATCTACTATTGACGAAGAAGAAGATGAAATTGAAGCGGTAAGTCATTGTGCATCACATATTATATATTTTAATATTATGTTCAAATGCCCGATGCTATTTTATATGTTATTATGTTAATAGAGGGAAGTAGCAGATTCATATGCAAACAATGCACGTATAATTGAAAAGCAGCTAGAGAGGAAAGGTATGAACAAACGTAAAACAGCAGATTTTGTAGAACCAGAAATTGCATTAGACATAAAAAGACATGTTCGTGGTACATTGCTGGAGAAATAATATTGTATTTTTTATTTTTTATAAGTTTATTTTAATATTGTAATATTAATTTGTACATAAATAATGATTGACTTGTGATTAAAGTGTTATTTTATTTTGAGATAGAATTGATTCACACAGATTGATTTTATGATGGATTTTCATCGTTGACCAATAACTGATACACAAGATCTGGTGTTCTTGACATCAATGCTGATGGATTATCATATTCATTGGTGGGATTGTGTACATGCTCGTATAGTTGTTTATAAACAGCAGAAATCACTTCATTAGATTGTCGTCTGACCTTACTTAAATGTATAGGATTTTTTAGACAACCAATTTGTGGTACTGCTACAGTGTGAGGCATGACTAGCATGCTTTCCAATTTACTCTGTAACACGATAATTAAAAATAAAATGAATGCATAGAAAAACCAATTTTTGTCGGGTGTGTTCTGAGAGTATAATATCAGAGATAAATTGAATTCAGTCTATAAGTATTATGCAGGGTCCACACATTATAAAATATAAATCAACTTTCCCATCACAGTGGGACTATCTAAATTAGTTTTAAAAACCCAAATACTGTTCTGTAGTCTGTGTCTGTGTCTGATCCAGCTTAATGTGTCTAGTTAGTTGTTATACATAATTGTTACACATAATAAACAAATTATTACACAAAGTACATAATATTATATCGATTGATAATCAATCATGTGCAATTACCAAAAAATTTATCAAATTTTCAGCTTCCATTCCTTGGATCTGAGACAGAGGAATATTTGCTCCATGACCTTGTAAAATGGTTTGGATTTCCTCAAGATTTAAATGTGTGACAAGATAGTTTGCTTGTTCAGAAGAAACAATTTCTATTTGCACAGCCATTTGAGCCTTGAAGCATGATTAACAATATTAGATCAATGATTTCAAGATGTAAAAATCTACCGGTTATTGGTTAACACACCTGCAATTTTTCAAGTTTGTCCTCAACATACTGGTACTGCCTTAGTGTCTCATGTATGTCATACAAGCAATTGAGATGGTATACGGCCATATCTAATGGGGTTAGTCGCGAGGCACTCAAATTGATAGCTTGAAGTAATGGTTCCAAGACACAAGATACTATCTAAGAACAAAATAATTTAAGTTAGACATAAAATCCATAGTATTGATTAATGTTCATCGTACCATGGATGTGTCTTCTTGTTTGTCTTCAGTAACTGCAGCCACTGACAAAACTTGCCTGAGGATATTTAATAAATGTCCGATACCAGGTGATGGGGACAAATCTAATGGCGGTGCTTCAATACGTTCCAAAAGAGTATCTCTTACTAGGTTTTGAAGTTTGTTTAAAAATACACATTCCATAGTTTTATGTAATTCTTCAATTGTTTGACACAGTTGTCCAGAGGGTACTGTCTAAAACCAAAATTTTTGGCTTAAATATAATTGAGGAAAAATATATTATGATACTGGTCTGTTATTGTCCCATAAAGCAGAAATAGGCATTTTAACTTTTACGATTAAAGACGACTGGCCTGTACTCTTAATACTTAGTACATACTACTGTGTATGTTTTTATAAGATTAGATTTCCAACCTGGGAAGTATACTAAAAAATCTACATTGGCCCACATTTTTAATATTTTTTTTAGTAAGACAAATTTTCTATAGTACTTGTCGAACAAAAATTATTATTCTATTTTACATTTGGTCTCAAACAATAAAGTAACATCTGCAATACATAGTAATAAGTTAAAAGTGATAAATTAGCTTAAAACTTATAATTTCATAGTTAAATATAACAATGCAATTCAAACATCTAACAAATTAGTTAATACGATAAATTAAGTGTTTAATGATAAAACATCTGAATGAAAAATTTTTTGTCAAAAAAAAATTAATTATTAATTAAGAATTTAGGCCCATACCAAAACTGACCAATCAGGAAAGATCTTGATTTTTCTATAAGCCATTCATATTAGCATTCATCATTTAGATTCATGAATTACAGCAACTTATAAGTCATTAAGTTAAGTTTTTTTGTAAACTTACTTTAATTACTATTTGGAGATAGAATTTCAGTGAACTAGCGACACCGTAGAGGTCAATTGGGTTTTCATTCATATGCAATACACTCTCTACGCGTGATGCTAAAGGACTGCACAATCCTTCAGTTATGCTACTCATACATAATGATATTTCTTCGTCAACATCTACATCAATAATGAAATTGTATAGGAATATTTACAATTATTTTGTATTAGATCATATACCAGCATTGAAAGCACAACAGTATTCTTACTTAATTTATCACAGTTTTTCAACAGATATGCAAGATACTTCCTTTCGATTGGAACATGATCAATCAACCATGATAACATGTTGTTAATGTACTGTCGTATGTCTTTTGAATATGTTTTCAATGATGTATCATTTGAACTGTTTGCTGCCAGAGCATCTATGAATCTTTGTGCAACTACAGACTGTCTTACTGTACAGTACTCTTCTAATACATATCTAAACAAGAATACCTCAGTTAATTCATAAAAAAAAGCAATTGATGCGTAATAAGTACTGTGATATTTTTGCACAGAAAAAATTAAAAACAATCTTAATGGAAACTGACACAATTATAATTGTAATTATGTAATTGTAAAATTATATTACTTGAGAGAATAAGTAGTCAGGACTCAGGATTAAGACTTACTTAAATAATACTGGTCGGTCTTGCAACACTTCCATGGCAAATACAAGTAGAGGACCAGTAACAGTGGACTCAATGTCTTTACAATGCAACTGGCTCCATCTATATAACACTTCCATTGCCATTTGCTACAATTAATATAACATTTAACGAGTGTAAATATAAACATAATATGATGTATTTATTGATTATATTTTTATCTATTTTTAAAATTATGTATTTAAGTTTTTTGTTACACAACTCCTTAAGTATTAATTAATATTTTATGATCATTTTAACTGTATATAAAATTGTATTTAATCTGCAACTCTTTACCGTCAACTCAAGATTAACTAATCAAGTCTTAGTTCAAAGTAATGGTTATTCAAAAATAAATATTACCTGGTAGGTGGAAATTTGTTCCATCAAACTAAGAGCTGATGTTTGATGACCAGCTTGCATAAGCACTTTACAATTATTGCTAATATTTTGAGTTTTACGTAAAGCTGTAAAAAATTCTGGAGTGACATCGTTTGACCGCAGACAAGCCACTTCTGAAGAATTCAACTGGAATGTTTTCACGTATGCATCTGCCAATAATTGTTGATTAGACACACTCTTCCTAAATACAAAAAAAAAAAAAAATGAAAATAGTGTTTAAATAATATTTTTTTTTATTAAATAATAAGAACAAAATATATAAATATTGACTTTTCTATGTGATGTACCTTTCGAGTTGCAATCGTTTTGTGAGTTCAATTAAGTTCTGAGTGTCTGTTTTAGTATCTTTCAATTGTGATGACATTGACATGACACACGAGTTTAAAGAATTTACATTGTCATGTAAAGCATTTACAGCATTTTTCACTTTTTCAAAAGATGCCAAAAAATTCTAAAAATAATAAAATATTAAGAAAGCAGCAAGTGGAAGTGATAATTCAACAAATAAATTGTATAAGTTCATTTACAGAGTAATAGTTTATAGTAAATAATAATAAGTGTATAACCACGGGTTTCCAACCAGTCTTAATAATGTGAGAAGCATAGGTAACATATTTTATTATAGTAATACATCATATACATTATAATAGAAGTACTAATAATAAAAATCACATATCTTTTATACAGTGTGTATTCAAAAAACTTACTTCATTCAATGCAAGACTTCTTTTTTCTATTTTAGTTCTTAAACCTCTTCTACATTCTAAGGTATTTTCTGTATAAAACTCTGATATCTCTTTTAACGCTTCTAGTGCATCCTACAACATTTTACAATAATATTTTAATTCAATAAATATGTCTAGGTCAGTTAATATATAACTATGTACAAATTTAACAACGTATAGATCATAATAAAAATATATTTCGGCTATAATGAAGAAAGTATTAAAGGCCGGTATAACAATTATAAGATTCCCGGATGCCATTTAAAAAAAAATAAAAAAGGTTCTACATTACAAACATAAATAGTTAAAAGAGCATATGCCACAAATATGATTTTTTAAACTATAATAAGGCGGTGCAAATATACACTTATACATTTTTTTAAATCTGATGCCTCATATTTAAGATTTTGTAAATATAATTAATATTAGTGCATTACCTATAGCTGAAAAATTAAATTTTTTACATCACTCATAGTCATATTAAGTGACACACAATAAATACTACGTCTTACCCTTGTACACTTTAATTTAATGACTTTATCCAAAATTCAACTTGGCCAGCACTTTTCTTAAAGTGAAGTACGATGACATACTTTAATTGTCTTATATCCATTCTTTTTAGACCTCATTGCCCATATTATGAAATTAATAACCTGACATTGTTCTGTTGTGAAGGTAGAAAGTCAAATGATTGTAAAAAAAATTTAACATAATTTAAGGTTGAAAATACTTTTAAGTACTATGTGTTAAATAAAAAAATATTATGTCGCCTCTGTATATTTTGATTCTCAGACCTTACCTACCTATATATTAGTGACTTATACGCTCAAATATATTATATTATACCTATTTATTTTAATACTATGTCCTTATGCTACATATATATATACTAAATTATAATATTAAGGGTCACAAACTATACAATAATAACAAAAAAATTATTCAATTTTTTTAAAATTTGCTGTATGCCTCTAACACAACGCAGTTGAACCATATTATCATATAAAAAAAACTATAGAAACAAAAGCTATTACCTTGTCACTTTCTAAATGTGTCTCTAGTACACTGGTAACCCTTTTTGATATTGCTTCTTCGTCGACAGCCATGATAATGTTTGAAGTTAAAGTTCCAATAATACAATCATAGACCTTTTAACTAGTTTATAGGTCTATTTTTACAATACAATAATAAAATGCCTTCTACTACTTATCTGAAAATCCACATTGTATGTTGAACTACAGAACAG